CCGTGTTCATTGAGAAAGCATGCACGCACAACAATAACGAAAAAACGAAAGGTGTTGGACTCGCATAATATGCGATGACTGCCTACCTAAGTGTTCTGTAAGAACAGAGTGCGACCAAAGGCTGTGGCCGATCGAGTAGTGGTTACACATGTTCCAAATCCACACGTGGGAAAAGAGACAAAATATGTTTTGTTTTCTTTTTGAGCAGGCATGAGGTTGTCAACAATAAGATTTATTGAATAGTGGCAAATAACGATGCGTAAGTTCTACTTTCATCAAAGTCTAACAATGATAAATCGACACGCAGTATATTCGTTAGAGTACTTTTATGATCTTAGCAGAAATAACCAAAAACCTCAATTTCAATCTCATTAAAAGCAGCTCCTTCTATAGAAAGACGGATTTCTTCTTAGTAATTCTTTCCGTCTGACCCAATTCTTTACCGCCTCCTCGAGCTTGGGAGGTGTCGATGTACAGCGCGGTGGATTCATCCCACTGGCAGTCTCCCGTGCTGAGAAGGAGCCCGGGTTTTCTGTCAAGGGGATCCACTCTACCATAGTAGCAAACTAGTCGCATGGTAGCAAATCTCGCTGGGATCAAAAAAAAGAGACGACTGCCTGTGTTGGCGACGACAAGGAGCAGACTTTGGCCAGACGGACCTTGAGATTCCAGCAAAACTCCAACGAGATGGAAATCAGGCGGGGTCTCGCACAGGTAGTGAACACGTGGGATCCATGTATCAAAGCATATAATTTTTTCCTTCATTAAGATAGGCACTCTCCTCACCCGTGTGATACTTGGTGCGACTAGTCTCCATCAGATAACTTGGAGACTTACCAAAGACAAAACGGCTAATCTTAGCTATTTTATTTACTGCCTACTTTTTTTAACGGCAAGGTATATTGCAAACTATAGCTTCAATGGTGCTGAAATATTTGCAAGTTCTGCACCGCAGGTGTTAATGGTGGGGAACGAACGCGCTCTTATCCTTTCGGGAGAGTAACGCGTTCACAACCACACCGTGCGAGCCCTTTGTTTCGCCTGTCTCTCAGCTAGTTCTATCGAAAAGATTAGGGGTTAAATTGAAACACTGAACTCACCACACTATGCGGGACCTTTGCTTCACCTGTCTCTGAGCTAGTTCTGTGAAATTCTGCCATCAGCAAACATTGACGGAGGCGAAACTGCCGAAATGTCACCCTGTATTTAGCAAGTCTTATTATGTCTCATTATCAACATCCTCTTATCTGCTTATCAATAAAACATGGACTTACTGAATAACACTTAGATTATAACAAAGTCAGACCTAAAAAATAAAAAGCCTTACTTTAAAGATAAATGAATTTTTTGGTGTTTTCTAAGTACCACCTGTATCACCTGTAGTCCCGTTGATCGTCGACTCGAGTGGGCGCCAGAAAACATTCCATCTTCAACTGTCGCGCGCAAGAGTAGCCTAGTGGGTTATACTCGGTCTATCGACCCATAAAGCTTTATATCTTCCTTTAAGGCTCTTTGTGAAGAACTCCAGCCATCGGGTCGGTGACCTTCCTTCCGTACAATTGATATCCCAGGGAATACAGGAACTAACGGCTATTGTCAATCGGTTATTATTTATACGCATTGCGCGCACTCCCCACCTTATCTTCGACTGTTTGGCGAACACAGCGACATCTCTGATTTTTGATCGTTGACGCAGATCGGAGCTTCCGATTATAACCCTTAATTGTGTGCAACTTCCTGGCATCGTCCTTTCGACTGCGCGTTCGATAACGCTGAGTGACCTTTCATCCTGCTTGCGCAGCGACCAGGTTTCTGACGCATATGTTAGGGCAAGAAGTACCGTTGAGTCGAAAAGGTTAGCACGAAGTCGGGTGTTCATGGCTTTCTTCACTATATCATCGATGCTCTTGAAAGCTCCACAAGCCGCACGCTTTCTTCTGCTCAGCTCTGGAGCCAGGTCGTTCATCACATTGATTCTCCGACGTAGACAGATATAACTGGAACATTCGAAGATATTCGTTCCGTTGAGCGTAAATGGGGCACGCGAAACCAATCCGTTCTTCATGAACATCGTTTTTGTGAGATCTAGTCGAAGACCAAACTTAACACAGGCTTTATCAACGTCGCCAAGCACACGTTCCGCTTGGCTAATATTTGGTGTTTTGAGGACGATGACATCAGCAAAGCGAAGATGGTGGAACTGGCGACCGTCGATTTTTACTCTCATATTATCCCATTTCAATGTTCGCATGACGTTTTGGAGGGTGGCGGTAAATAATTTTGGCGAGATGGTACTGCCTTTCCCAACTCCTTTTTTAACGTCAATGTTAATATCGTTGTATAATGGTGACACTTTGGCAGCTCACGAGGAATCTTTATGTGCTGAGTAGGTACTCCTTGACGATTAAGGACTTCCAAGACCGCTTCTACCTCAACTGAATCAAAGGCCTTCTGTAAATCGATGAAAGTGGAACAGAGCGGTCTTTTGTACTGTCGCGATACTCTTCGGACCTCGTGCTGCTCGATTTTTCATTGACGAAAAGGTCGGTCAGATTTCGGAAGGAAGAAGAGGTGGAGCAAGATATCCATCCTTCTTTGTTTCATGTGACGGAAAGTGGACGTGGCTATCGAAGAGATCTGAGCAGTATTCGTGAATAATTTTCACCATTACCTTTCTGGTCGCTGCAACTGTGGTGAAAAAGAAGTTCATTCATAACAGCTGCATAAAATTTTTAAACTCTTAACCCCATGAAGCCTTAGAAGTGAGCAGTTAAAGTTTCCGATAAAATTTGTCGATATCTTAGACGTATTTCTCCTTGTACGGATCCCCTCATATAAGTGATCTCGAGCCGGTAAGTCGCGTGGCTACGTGGGACGTCTCCAGGTGGCGGATAGGGGGTTAATCGCCGATCAAAAGCAACCCTTGCTTCGCTGAGACGCAGGTGGCTCCAGGGGATGGCCTCCCTGTTCATGCTGCGCCGATTTGGCACATACTTTCTGTATTTGCTAGGCGTATTCATACATGCGTGTGTGGGGGCGTTTTTGTTTATGCAGATTGTATCGTACGAGTCAATTCGGCCAAAAGCCTGCAATCAAGTGACTGGGAAGTATGTGGGAGGCGCTTAGGAGTGGCCTCCAACAAATAAGCTACATGTCCACTCTGCGAGAGCCTCGCAAGCTGCCCGTGAATATACCTAGCTCCCACGTTCAGAGCCTAGCAAGCTATACGTGGGTATCAAAAAATGCTGAACACAGTAAAAAAAAAACGAGCCTTATTCCTCCGACCTCGAAAGAGCCCCCAATTCTGCAGCGTTGGGTAGGACGAGTAGGGAGAGTCTGCTAAAATCTCAGGACCAATGGAAGCTGCCTGGATTTCAAAGAACTATGGTGACGATCAGTAACTACAATGCACGTACGCTTGCATCCGAGTCCTCGATAGAAGACTTGCTCAGACGAGGAACAATGATAAAGTACGACGTCATCGGCCTGGCCGAGACGAGAAGACGCCAGCCTCTCAACGCCGTCTATGACACCGGACAAGAACTGTTCCTCGGAACACGCGACAGTGGAGGAGTCGGCGGAGTCGGGGCATTCTCGTCAACACGAGTTTGTCCATGAACAGCGATTCATTCCAACAACTTACAACCCAAATCGGGCGTTTACGATTAAAAAAAACGTGGATCAATTCTGGCTTTCACTGTCTTCGTAGTTTACGCGCCGACATCAAACTATGACGAAGAGGTATTCGAAGGGTTCTACGTGGACTTAAAGAAATTCTACAGAGAAGACCAGACATTCTTCAAGGTTATCACTGGACATTTCAACGGCTAAACTGGACCAAGAAGAAAGTCTGAAAAACGTCACCTTCGGACACACGGATTATAATGGAACAAACAGGGTGAGCGGCTGTCTGAGTTTAACATGGCGACCAAGACCATTCGTGGTAACCCGCAATTCCAGAATCCCCACCATCAAAGCCAAACGTGAGAGTCTCCTAATGGAGAGCACCATAACGAAATATACCACACCACAGTAAATAAAAGGTTTTGCTTGACCGATGTCGCTGTTGCCACAAAATTCTATAGAGGTTTAGACCATCTTCTCTTTCGTGCAAGATTCTATTTTTCGCGGAAGGGAGAAAAGGCGGCTAAATTCCAAAATCGAAGTCCCCGAACCACCGCAAACTGGTACTTATTGAATTCATTAGTCGACTGTTGGAAAGATGTCGCTTTCGATAACATCGACGAAGAATACGATCGGCTCATTGAACATCTTCACGTTAGCGCTATGAAAGCTGAGAATTCGAAAGTCACCAAGAGACGTCTGTCTCCAGAAACCCTCGAGGTGATATGCCAGCGTGGAATCTCACAAGCTGCAGATAACCGCGAACTAACGTCCAAACTTGCAAAACAATGCAGATAGGCGATAAAAGAAGATCTCAAAGAGAGAACACCAGCAGTGATGGTTAAAGCTGCAGAGGATGGAAAAGCATCCGCAAAGCCCACCGAAGCTTAGCGAATTGCACGACCAAGATGATTGCACTCCGATTCCCAGACCGAGCAGTTACAGCGACCAGAAAGGCAATGGTGAAAATTATTCACGAATACTCCTCAGATCTTTTCGATAGCCACGTCCACCTTCCGTCACATGAAACAAAGGAGGATGGATATCTTGCTCCACCTCTTCTTCCTTCCGAAATCTGACCGACCTTTTCGTCAATGAAAAATCGAGCAGCACGAGGTCCGAAGAGTATCGCGACAGTACAAAAGACCGCTCTGTTCCACTTTCATCGATTTACAGAAGGCCTTTGATTCAGTTGAGGTAGAAGCGGTCTTGGAAGTCCTTAATCGTCAAGGAGTACCTACTCAGCACATAAAGATTCCTCGTGAGCTGCCAAAGTGTCACCATTATACAACGATATTAACATTGACGTTAAAAAAGGAGTTGGGAAAGGCGGTACCATCTCGCCAAAATTATTTACCGCCACCCTCCAAAACGTCATGCGAACATTGAAATGGGATAATATGAGAGTAAAAATCGACGGTCGCCAGTTCCACCATCTTCGCTTTGCTGATGTCATCGTCCTCAAAACACCAAACATTAGCCAAGCGGAACGTGTGCTTGGCGACGTTGATAAAGCCTGTGTTAAGTTTGGTCTTCGACTAAATCTCACAAAAACTATGTTTATGAAGAAGGGATTGGTTTCGCGTGCCCCATTTACGCTCAACGGAACGAATATCTTCGAATGTTCCAGTTATATCTGTCTACGTCGGAGAATCAATGTGATGAACGACCTGGCTCCAGAACCGAGCAGAAGAAAGCGTGCGGCTTGTGGAGCTTTCAAGAGCATCGATGATATAGTGAAGAAAGCCATGAACACCCGACTTCGTGCTAACCTTTTCGACTCGACGGTACTTCCTACCTTGACGCATGCGTCAAAAATCTGGTCGCTGCGTAAGCGGGATGAAGGGTCACTCAGCGTTATCGAACGCGCAGTCGAAAGGACGATGTTAGGAGTGAGAGCAGCCAACCATCAATACAATCCCTGAGGGCATAATGAGAATGTGTTCGGAAATCTTGGCCCATCACAGTGGCTTGCGGATTTGGAATCAAGCCATTTTTCTGATGTATACAATGCCGCTTGGCCATCGCTCAGACACATAGTCCTTCAGGAAAAACCAAAAGCAGTGCATGTACCTGAAATGCCTAGGAGAATAAAAAGGGTAGTGAATCTTGTCATTGATTTCTAACACGGTACTAGAAATGGAAAATATACAACGGAGTATAAACCAAAGGATTTTTCGGAAACGATGCTCATTTTCTGAATTTATCTATTCTTTCAATCCTGATTCAACAGTGCTCAATTTACATAGTAAATGCTATATTAATTGATTGCCTGATTCTCAAATCCACACGGATGGTTGTTCTGTGATGCTGAAAAAATTACTAGTCGACTAATGCAGATATCTCGACTTTTGTTAGATGAAAACGGATAACCACAAACTGCCATGAAAATTTTTAAATGTATAGAAAGGACAGAGGCGTGAAGATGTAGCAACTGGCATCTGTGCAGGTGGTGAAACCGTTCTTCACTTAAGAATCTCCGGCAAGATGCAGCACAATGAGCTTTACCGTAAAAAAGACAAACTTCGGTTTGTTCTAATTTTTTTTCGATAAATTGGAGAAGTTAACTGAAAAGATAAAAACTATAAAGATGGCCATGCAGACTCGCTTCTTTTTCAACAACAATTGGACCAGGGTATGCCAGTATGGGAAAACATCCAGCTACCACTTCTACCACCACCTAACAGCTTCGCTAATCCCTCCCAAAAGAGTACTTGCACCGAATGGCAACTCAACGTGAAGTAGCCCATTTTCTCCGTTTTTTGTAAATAATGACCATGTGGTTTACACAGAAAAGCTGAAGGCTGACATGTGTTCTATGATGGATACGGCGTTAACCAATTCTCTTCAGCTCAAGCACTGCGCTGCACTGTAAAGTTCTCGATGAAGAATTCCTAGTCCCAAAATTCGAGGCCTTTGAGATCCGCACCGCAGAGAAAGCAAAATGGCCAGCAAGAAAGAGTTCAACTCTGCACCAGGCTTTAACACAATTCGCGATTAATGATGGTAACAAAGCAACTACCATTAAAATCTAATAGGCCCCCACTTTCGTTCATCCTTTCCAGATCTGATCGACCGTTACTATAAACCTTCCGGATTACTTTATTATGCAACTGAGGATAAAATGTCTTATATTTGCATAAAAGCTAGAACAAAAAGAAGGGTCTTTCCAAAGTGAAGAATCATTTCCCCAACTAAATAAAGCTAATCCACAGTACGCTTCACTTCTTTTTGAATTTATACCCGGATTAACTTAGCTTATTTAAAATTCAGCTGTAGTAGATCTATAGAACAAATTTTTGAAAAAAAATTGACAATGTTAGGGAAAGGAACCTTCTCTGCTACCTCCACCTTCAATTCACTTTCTAGTCAATCCACCTGAAAGAGTTACATACATGTATCAATACATACTAAACATCTCTAAAGGTATACTCAAGTGATGTTAATACTAAGCTGGCTAGAAGACTTTAGACCAAATCGTTAAGCCGTCCGAAGTTGTTAAATACACATTTCAAACAAATTTTGAAAAAATCAGATATACACTCAGATGACATTAAACTCGAATGTCACAAAAGCGTTAGGTATTAATCCTGAAAAAATCCTAACCACGTTTCAACTTATTTCATGCAGGAAAGCACGGATTCCTTGTAATCCACATGGAAAAACCCTTCGGAAGAATCTCAATACCGATTTTTTATGGACTACTTATTCGACGGCCCAGAAGGTACTGACAAAAGGTATCGAAAAGAACGCCATGCGGTTAGCGATTTTTAGTGGAAACATTTTAAATACATAAACTCAAAGCGAACACTAATGCAAGTGTACTACAGCAATACAACAGAAAACTGAAAGAGAGTTCTCTAAACAAACCCGCTAATCAACTTCGAAACGTACCCTACGTTCGTTAAATGGAGAGAACGATAACGACTGATGGACCACTAATCCGGTAGACCACACATTAAATAGACGTTAAGACCACAACGAATACGATGAACGAGTTCTGTTTTCAATTCGACCGTCGGACAAAATCATTCAGGTGTAAAATTATCCAACTCCACAACTCCTCTAACTAACATTATTGGGATTGGGTTTCGGATAAGATACGTGCCTTTAGGGCAGGTGTAGCGCAGGGGTCGCAGGTTTCCTGTAATACACATGCGAACGATCACCGCGCCCTAGGCTCACCAAGCCTTCCACCCCTTCGTTGTAGGCAAATTGGTAGCAAACTTGTCCGGGAGGGCAGTAGCATTGACTCGATACACGGATAGACTACCGCAAGTCATTGTGAAGGTCAGATGTGCATTTAATCACCTCCAACGATGGTTAATGAAGTAGAATGTATGGCGCATCATTCAGGGGCTCATCAAGACCAGGAGCTTTATCCCTTAGCTTCAACTTTTATCTGCCTTTTAAGAAAAGTTATGAGCTATATTTACTTCATCTGTGATAAATTCGAGTCACATAGGTTGATGGCGAGAAAGTTTTATTATAGCCGGTTGAACAAATTGCATGTAAAAGAAAATATGCGGATGCTTCTATAACTTTCTCTTATGAAACATCTTCACACACTGTGAAAATAACAGTACTTCTTTCACTCCATTCGTTGCTCTGTATCTATCATCGGTAAGATCTTCTAAGACTTTTAGTGTGCATTCGTCTAACAGGACATTCGCCTTATTTATGAATACCAGCGAATGCTGATCAACTACACACTACGTGATACCCTGGGAAGACCAAAGTCGCATGTAGTCCGCAGTAGCCATCTATCTGCCGTCTGGAGGCGCGTCAACTGGCTGGATGTAGATCCATCAATGGGAGAACAATTGGAATACAACGACGCTGTCCGCTGATTCCCTTCGCGATCTCGTGAGCACAAATCGCTTTGGTCGAATTGTGGAACATTTCTACACCTTATACTTGCATCAACTCTTCTTTCCGATGCCTCAGTAACACTATTCTTTCCTTACCACGCACATTAAAAAAACGTCTGCATATCGGAAAAAATGAGTTGGAGGATGGCTCTGCTTCTGTTGTCTTCGATTGCGTGACATGCTAATCCCTGCTGGATTTGTCCATTATCCGATGGAAACCACACATAAACAGACGGATTTTGGCACTGCAGATGACGAAGCGGCTAGATTTCTTGACTTCTTCAGCGACGAAATGGAGACGAAGCGTTATCACCTGGAGCGGTAAATGCATAAGAGTGAAGATTGTAAAGGTAATCCAGCCTTAGAAGGCTGTTCTACTTCACTCGCAGCGACTTCCAGGTCACACAAACGTTCGCATCTGTTCCGCATAGTTTTGATAGGTTGTCAGCATTTCACTGCGTCCGAAGCATTTCTTCTTTTACAATTTCTCTACAATACAAAATGATGATTAAGTATTAGTCGAGCAAAGAAAGCGAAAAAACATGCTGCGAATCTGAAAAACTACTTTCAAATGTTTAATACCAATAGACAATAAGTTATTCTCCAAGTGGGAAAGGAATGGTCGAACTTCGATGGCAACATCGAAACCTATAAATCAACTCCGAGACAAATTTATGCGTAAAGTTAAGGGCACTGGAAGCATATTTTTACAAGCAAGACGACTTTATTTTCTCTGCTAGGTGGGCAATCTTAAGTGCTGAAGGAGACGAATTTCTAGAATTTATTTTTAGCGAGCGATTTGATTAGTGAAGATTTTAATAGCCAGTAATCGGTGGGATTCTCGAAAAATGGGTAGTTGTTTGTCTGAACCTGTTTGTTTTACCAAGCAAACGATGTCGTGCATGACCTAAAAATAGACGGAATTAAATCACCTGTGTCCGCAAGCCCAAACGGGGAAATTCACAATGCTGAAACTCCACCTCGCTGATGGTTCTGAAGTCGCCCACGTTCTTTCTAAGCATTTTCGACAATACCTAGCGTTTACGAGAATTATATCATAAAAAATATTTGGTACATCGAAAAACGTAAAGCTAAAAATATAACACCGCAAAACGAGTAAATCGATACAGATAAGAACAAGAACACGTTTATTAGCTAACTTTTCAGTTACCGCCTACTACAATTTCCAGGGCGGGGTATTACGCGAAATCGACCACAACCTAACAATGTAGTTTCAACCGCAGTCTCAGTTTAACTGCCTTC